CCTCCTGAGGCATCGACCTGGGAGTCCGAGTCTGATATGCGGAGTCGTTATCCTCATCTTTTTCCCGACTCAGGTACTTCTTTCTTTTGTCCGTTCGAGGACGAACGGTTGTTTTAGAGGTGGAGAATGTGACGACCCAAAGGGTCATCACCTGTTTTCTTACCCATTCTGTACTTCCAAGGCCTTGAAAACCCCAATTAGAGTTGCCTCGATTTGCGTGCGCAGTCCGGGCGCGTAGCCGGAAAGCTTAAATATGAAATTCTGTGAAAAATGCTAAGTTTTGATATTAAAATGAATAAGTTTGACTTCAGTCAACATTTTGGGTAAACGGACCCGGACACGTGATTTGACGGTCCCGGAGGGTCCGTAGGAAAATATGGGACTTGGGCGTATGCCCGGAATCGTATTTCGAGGTCCCAAACCCGAGAAATGTATTTTTGAGTAAAATTGTTTTCTGAAAATATATAAAGAAATTGGAAATGAAATCTGGTTAGAAAGTGATAGTATCAGGCCCGTATTTTGGTTCCGGCGCCGGGTACAGGTCTTATATGTGGTTTAAGCACTTTCTGTAAAGTTTGGTTGAAACCGGACGTCGTTTGACGTGTTTCGGACTTAAAATGGAAATTTGATGTTTTATGAAAAACTTGGAAGAAATCATGAGTTTTGAGGCTTGATTCGATGTATATGATGTTGTTTTGGCAATTTGATCACACGGATAAGTCCGTAGGATGTTTTTGAGGTTGTGTGCATATATGGTTTGGAGCCCCGAGGGCTCGGGTGAGTTTTGGATAGGTGTCGGAGTGCATTTTGAACCTTGGGAAAATCTGATATTCCCAATCCTGCAATCTTCGCATTTGCGAAGCAGGGCTCGCAAATGCGAGCTCGCAAATGTGAGTTTGCCATCGCAAATGCGAAAAGGGGACTAGCCAGCTGGGATCGCAAATGCGACCTCTTGGTCCGCAAATGCGAAGTCGGGCCTGTCGCAAATGCGACATATTAGCTCGCAAATGCAAAAGTTTCCAGATCCTTCAGAGTTCGCAAATGCGAACTCACCTTCGCATTTCCAAGCCTGCAGGGTTGGCAAATGCGAACCCACCTTCGCATTTCCCACATCTGAGTCCTGCATATTTTACACTTAGCCGAATATTTGAGTCATTTTAACATTCTTTCAAAACACAAACCTCTTTGGGCGATTTTCCAAGAACAAGACCTCTTCCAAATCATTTTAAGTTGGTTTTACTCATTTCTTTGAATCTTTAGCATCATTTAACATGTTTTCAACTTAAAATCAAAGATTTCCATGGGTGAAAATGGGGCTTTTGGGTAGAACCTAGGTTTTTCTAAAAATGGGGGTTTGGACCTCAATTTGAGGTCCGATTTCAAAACAAATCACATATTTGGGTTCGTGGGGGAATGGGTAACCGGGTTTTGGTTCGAACCTCAGGTTTTGACCACGTGGGCCCGGGGACGTGGAATTTTTGGGAAAAACTTTGGGAAATTCATTTTATGCATTCAAATTGATTCATTTAGCGTTTATTGATGTAATTAAGTAATTTGTGATTAGATACGAACGAATTGGTGGTGGAATGAAGGGGTAAAGCTATAATTGAAGCATGAATTATGTTCGAGACATCGAGGTAAATGTTTGGTCTAACCTTAGCTTGAGGGATTAGGAGTTGCGTCCTATTTGCTAATTGTTTCTTGTTGAGTACGATGTATTGGCATGGTGACGAGTATCTATACGTCGGTGTCGAGCATGACCGTGAGTCTTATATTGTGATTTCCATGATTTCGTTGTATTATTCATGCCTTGGTGAAAATTTCTATTTGTTGTGTAAAGTTGTGAAAAGAATTGTGACTTATGAACGTCGAGGAGCATTGGCTCCAGTTGCATAACGAATTGTGAAAGTATATGTGATAATTAAATCTCTAGAGCAGTGGCTCGAGTGATGAAGTGAATTGTGAAGTAAAAGTGAGAAAGAGAAGAGATCATTATGTTGCCCCCTTGCCGGGCTATTGTGAGTTGTCCCTTGTATTGTGTTTTTAATTGATATTATAGATACTTAGGTTGATGATTCTTTGTGTTAGGTAAGGATTATGGTTATAGCTGAGGTAGTTAGATGTTGGGACAAGTTTGGGGTATAGCGGAGGTAATTAGGTGTTGTAACAAGTTTGGGGTATAGCGGAGGTAATTAGGTGTTGTAACAAGTTTGGGGTATAGCGGAGGTAATTAGGTGTTGTAACAAGTTTGGGTATAGCCGAGGTAGTTAGGTGTTGTAACAAGTTTTGGGTATGACTGAGGTAGATAGGTGTTGTGACAAGTTTGGTTATAGCTGTTTCTTTTTCCCTTGCCGGGATAGCGTAGACGTTTTGATCCCTTGTCGGGACTCTTGTTATATTTGTAGACATTATATATGGATTGGGTTGCACGCCGCAACAATGTTATATATATGGATCGGGTTGCACGCCGCAACACTATTATATATATGGATCGGGTTGCACGCCGCAACAATATTATATATGGATCGAGTTGCACACCGCAACAATATTATATATATGGATCGGGTTGCACGCCGTAACAATATAATAAAATGGGAGCGGGTGGTACGCCTATCACGAGATATAGTGAAATGGGAGCGGGTGGTACGCCTACCACGAGAAATAATAAAATGAGAGCGGGTGGTAAGCCTACCACGAGATATAATGAAATGGGAGAGGGTGGTATGCCTACCACGAGATATAATGAAATGGGAGCGGGTGGTACGCCTACCACGAGGTATAATGAAATGGGAGCGGGTGGCACGCCTGCCACGAGATACATGAAATGGGATCGGGTTGCATGCCTGCAACGAGATATGTACTAACAGTGAAACCTGCTTTTATTTCCCTTATCCGTGTTAGAGTTAAATTATTGATGTTCTTTATTATTCTCTTGATATCTTGTTTTTACCTGTTATCCCCCGAAGCATGTTTCCCCCTCCCATCCTTACTTTCTTATACCTGCTTTACTTTCCGCTGTATTTTATATAACTGCACAGGTTTATTTGATAGTCTGGTCCTAGCCTCGTCACTACTTCGCCGGGGTTAGGCTAGGCACTTACCAGCACATGGGGTCGGTTGTGCTGATACTACACTCTGTGCTCTTTTGCACAGATCAGGTTTCGGTCAGCATCAGTTGTTGGAGGGCTTTCTTCAGTCCACCCGGAGAACCAAGGTAGACCTGCAGGCGTTCGCGGGCCCCGGCGTCTCCCTCTATCTTTATTCCCTGTTTCATTTCTCTTTTGGTTCAGAAACAGCCTATTGTATTTTCCTTTGGACTTTGTTTGTAGTGACTCTTAGACAGTTTGTGACACCGTGACACCAGGTTTTGGGTATTGAGGTTTTGAAAGTTGTATTGGACGTAGTATTGAGTTATAAACATCGTTTAAGTCTTCCGCTAAATTACAAATTCCGTTGTTGTTTAATTATTTAATTCCTGTTAATTAAATTGGTAGAAATGGATTTTAATCAAAAGCGTTTATGGATTTTAGATGTGTGGCTTGCCTAGCTTCTACGAGTAGGCGCCATCACGACCCCCGATGGTGGAAAATCCGGGTCGTGACATTTAACACCGCAAATCAAATTTAATTGTTACTCGTATTTTCGAGGTAAATTGATCCATCAATTGGTACACCCATCTAGGCAAAATATTTTCCACGTCAGCACTATCTTGCAATTTCAATTGCAAAAATCGACACTGATTATTCCCCAATTCATAAGATGAGACCAGAATAAAGATCTGGTGTTTTTCAAATTTAGAAAATATAACTCGCCTAAATTTGAATGGGTTGAGCAAGCATATGTTCCTTCGGCCGGTTCAAGTTAGGCAATCTAAAAGATTGGGTCAATTTGTGCTGCATGTACATATCTCCAAATTAACCCAAGAAAATATAAAATGTTGAAATTAAATTCTTTTGCTTGGATGGACCTACCTTTAGGATAAGAAGGGTCAGCGGCTCTCGGTAATTTCGAAAAAAAATATATGTATATATGTGTAAATATTTTAAATAACATGTAGTATATATTTTAATTGGTACCCTAACACACAAAGCCTAGACAACTACATTGTGAGGAGGGCACAACTTGACTTTTAGTGCATTGTTGGGTTCGATTCTCATTCTATTAATTGCTCAAATTTATATATGATGGTGGTATCCCCTGCCACTTTTAAATTCTAGTTCCACCTCTGGACCCACTATATTTTGCTAAATTTATCCCAGAAAATATCAAATGTAAAATAACATTGCGATATTTTTGTCCAAAAAATATATTTAAAGGATGATAATCAATTTCCAAATCAAACATTTAACACCATGTAAAACTATAATATTAATTTAGACCATTAACTCCTGCAATTCCAGTTGTAATTTAGACCCGCTAATCGAGCAATTCCCCTTGGTATCTTATTCATTTTTGTTTTGGATTTTACTTATATACTATAAAATTATAAAGAATTTTTACACTATCTGTGCAGATTGTGCTTTCACCCTGTCGTACGTAGCCGCTTAAGCTTTATTTTAGAATTTTAACACTATCAATATATAGAAGTTGAACTCTTTCCTTTGTGCAATACTTCTTTCATTTTCTTGACTTTTGTGGTTTCTGTCTCTCTATTTTTTCTTTTTTCTTTTTTCTTTTTCCTTTTTATTCTTGTTGGGGGAGTTTGGGGATTGAGAGAGCATCATGCATGACGAAAAAGAGTGGCATTATTGTAATTCAAAGAGTATCTAAAAATTCAATTAGGAGAATTTATCACTCACAGTATGGAAGTGGGGACTCTAATGCAGAAGTTTTTAATTTGGTGCAAAAATTCAGTGCCAAAAATGACAAGTCCCATACTTATATTCACGTGAAATCTTCATGGCCAGCAAATCTTTGCTCCTTAAATAAGATATTTTTTTGGTCTATAAATATGATTTTAGGTTGATGTACTTCTTCACTACACCCTGTAGAAAGTAAACTCAACAAGTGAGAAATAGTTCACAGCTAATTAGTTTTCAAAATGGCTTCAACAAAAAGTTTGCTCTTTTTAGGTCTTCTCCTTGCTCTTGTCCTTCTTGTTTCCTCCCAAGTGGGAGCTCAAAGTAAGAAATTCACATTTTGCATGTTTGAATATCTTTATTTATTAATTTGCCTTGGTATTGTTGCATCAATGCAACTATAATCCGAGGCAGATTTAGGGAGGGTCCTATGTATTTAACTAAATTTCTTTTTCCAGCTCGAATAATGTAGATATACTTATACAAAGGCGCCTAAAATATATACATATAATATAATCACACTTCTTATTCTGAACTTATTGATTCTAGATCCTGAATTTGCCTATACATCTAACGATATCCTTGATGTTGTTAAACAGAAGAAAGCAAGGTGACTGGCGATGTTGAAGAAGCTCAATATGGAGGAGGTGGATACCCGGGAAACGGGGGCGGAGGAGGGTATCCCGGTAATGGTCGTGGGGGTGGACGTAACGGATACCCGTGGAGAGGTTGCAGATATGGTTGCTGCCGTGGATACCGCAATGGCCCGGGGTGTGCAAGGTGTTGTGCCACTGCTCATGAATCCCCTGATGCTCAATTTGAAGATGATTCCAAGAATTGATCATCTATATTTACCTTGCTTTGTTTTCTAAAATGTTGCTTTCCTTTTAACAAATAAGGCATGTTGTCTTCATTGGACTCCTAATTCCATTGAATGACATTGCCAATGCCTGGATATTTCACTAACTAGTGAGATTTTCAATGAATTTTGTGTTTTCTATCTTTTGATGTTATTATTATGCATGCATTTTGGAGTTTTTCACTAGTGAAGTTGTCCTTCAATTATGTATCATTGTTGTGACTTTAACTCATGAAATTCAAAACGATCCTACTCCACTAGATACCTACTACCTCTTACTAGTATAAGTATCAGATAACACAATCCACCAAAATTTATATAGCTATACGAGAAGAAAACACCTAATAATTTTTTCTCATCCAATATGGTGTCCAATGACAAGTTCAATGAGCTTTCACGATTTAAAATGTCGACATTTTACTGTAGGTATACGAAAAGAAAACACCTAATAATTTTTTCTCATCCAATATACACTACAATATTTTAGGCCTTTAACCACACCTAAAAAGTGTGGCCTTATACGTTTCGACCTAAGGCAACGTTTTTTGAGGGGTGGCCTAAACGAGGGTAACCTTTACCCTAAGGCAACACTTTTCAAGTGTCGCTTCAGAAGCCACACCTGAAAAACGTGGCCTAAAATGTAACGAGAGTCACGCTTGTAATACCCTCTATGGCAACACTTTTAGATACTGTAACAACCCATTAAAAGCGTGACCATTGTTACTCTTTAGGCTACACTTCTCAAGCACTTGTGGCTCCAAAAAGCAACACTTGTAAAGTATAGGTTTTGCTACCAAATAGACCACAAATTTTGTTAATCTCTATTGCCATACTTTTGCGGTCAGTGAATTATATTTTGTACATATCCTATAATCAAATTTAAGTATGAATATCTCAAGCACCCAATGAACTAGTAGATAATAAAAGAATAATTCAAATGCATAAACTTGCAATGAACTTCAAACAAGGAGTAAACCTCGTGTAATACATCAACGAATAAAGAAGCTTGTCTCAAGGGGCATGCTAACTTTATAAAAAGCAAATGTATTATTATAGTATCAGGAATAACAAAAATCATAATTGTCCAAAGTCTTGATGATTACATTCCATTAGATCAAATTGTCGTTTGGCCACCATTTCCAACTGCTCACCAAGACTTTCCTGCACATTTAAAATAAAATTAGTAATTAGATAAATATCAATAGTATGCAAGTGCAAACTTAGAGCAGTGTAATAGATTTTTCCCTTGAAAATTTAAATACCAAGCACTATTCTAAGAACAGATGCCTGTTATACTTGAGCCTAACCTAAACTAGTAGGGGTACACTATAATACTTCTCAATATTTATCAATTTTCTCATTAGTAGTTTTATTTTTGTGCATTGGCATCAACACTTTCTTTTGTATTTTGCAATCGACACTTTCTTTTTGTCACGACCCATTTTCCATAATAGCTCATGATGGCGCCTAACACCATTGTCAGGCCAGCCGATGCGGAAATGTGATTAAGTTCTCATTTTACTTTAGCCAAAGACAGTTATACTAGATTTTCGAAATTTAAGATAAGACTAGTAAAGATCATAAAGTGCTAAAATAGCGATACAACCCCAAAATAAATGTCTACTACTGTGTGTGCCAGAACCTGGTGTCACAAGCTACGGGCGACTAGTAGAATATACACAAAAGAATAATACACTATCCTACTGCCTGAATCAGGATAGACATAAACAAAAGTACAAGAAAGAACTTCTTCGGCTGCGGATCGGCATGAAAGAGAAGCAGCTCACCGTAGAAGTCCCCAAGCATGCTCACTGATGCGCACCGGGAAGATGTCCAGATCCACCTGCCTCAAATCCTGTACATTTAAGTACAGAAGCGTAGTATGAGTACATAAACCACATGTACTCAGTAAGTATCCCATCTAATCTCGAAGAAGTAGAGACGAGTGGTCGACTCGATACTTACTAAGGTCAAGATAATATAATATAATAAAGTGAGATATACAGCATGAAGGACTTCCAATAACACAAGTTTAATAGAAGAGTCATATTCATGTTCTTGACATAATTAAATTACCAGTTTTCCCTTTTTCATATTAAATGAGTGATCATGTCATAACTGAATGTAAGCATATAAATCATGCACAATCATGCCGAGGTCGATGGCCCGCTCCAACAGAAAATAAATTGTGCACTGCCGAAGGTCGAGCGGCACGAACCATAGATGCATCTATTCTCACCGAGGCGATCGGCCCGATCCATAATCATCAAGAAAATATCAGGAAAGCACATAAGGCTGAATAAGTGGGGATATCTACTCCGCATGTCCTCCTCGGACTCCCAGGTCGCCTCCTCGACCGCTTGGCCCCTCCACTGGACTCTTACCGCAGAAATCCTCTTGGACCTCAACTAGCGATCCTGTCTATCAACAATGGCAATTGGCTCCTCCTCGTAGCCCAAGCTCTCATCTAACCGAATGGTACTGAAATCCAACATATGTGAATAGTCGGCATGGTACTTCCGAAGCATCGATACATGGAAGACTGGATGAACTCCTGATAAACTGGGAGGTAAAGCAAGCTCATAGGCAACCTCTCCAACTCGCCTCAACACCTCAAAGGGGCCAATAAACCTTGGGCTTAGCTTGCCCTTCTTCCCAAACATCATAATGCCCTTCATTGGCGAGACTTTCAAGAGAACCTTCTCGCCAATCGTGAATGATACATCACGTGCCTTCTGATCCGCGTAACTCTTCTGCCTGGACTGAGCTGTGCGGAGCCTCTCCTGAATCAACTTTACCTTATCCAAGGCATCCTGTACCAAATCTGTGCCAAGTAACTTAGCCTCACCGGGCTCAAACCACCCAATAGGAGAACGACAACGCCGGCCATTCAATGCCTCATACGGGGCCATCTCTATGCTGGACTGATAGCTATTATTGTATGCAAACTCCGCCAAGGGCAAGAACTGATCCCACTGCCCCCCAAAGTCCATAACACATGCTCTAAGCATATCCTCTATAATGTGAACTGTCCGCTCCGACTGCCCGTCGGTCTGAGGATGGAATGCCGTGCTGAGCTCTACGCGGGTCCCCAACTCACTCTGAATAGTTCTCCAGAAATGGGAAGTGAACTGAGGGCCTCTGTCCGATATGATGGAAACCGGCACACCGTGCAACCTGACTATCTCCCGAATGTAAATATGAGCATATCTCTCCGCCGTATAAGTAGTCGCCACCGGAATGAAGTGGGCCGACTTGGTCAACCTATCCACAATAACCCACACTGAATCAACCTTCCGCTGAGTCCGCGACAACCAAACCACGAATTCCATGGTAATGCGCTCCCACTTCCATTCCGGAATGGGCATCTGCTGAAGTAGGCCACCTGGCCTCTGGTGCTCATATTTGACCTGCTGGCAATTCAAACATCTAGCAACATACTCCACTATGTCCTTCTTCATCCTCCGCCACCAGTAGTGCTGTCTCAAGTCACGATACATCTTCGTGGCACCTGGATGAATGGAATACCTCGAACTGTGGGCCTCCCCTAGAATCCTCTCTCTCAAGCCATCAACATTAGGAACACATACACGGCCCTAAAGCCGTAACACACCATCCTTGCCAATAGAAATATCCTTGGCACCTCCCTGAAGTACCGTCTCTCTGAGGACCGCCAAATGTGGATCATCGAACTGTCGGGCCTTAATCTGCCCCAATAACAAAGACTGAGCAACCACACATGCTAGAACTCGGTTGGGCTCCGAAATGTCCAACCTCACAAGTCTGTTAGCTAAAGACCGGATGTCCAAAGCTAATGGTCTCATCTCGGCAGGAATGAACGCCAAGCTACCCATACTCTCCGCCTTTCTGCTCAAGGCATCCGCGACCACATTCGCCTTACCTGGATGATAAAGAATGGTAATGTCATAATCCTTTAGTAACTCAAGCCATCTGCGCTGCCTCAAATTAAGATCTCTCTGCTTGAACAAATGCTGCAAGCTGCGATGGTCGGTGTAAACCTCACATGACACCCCATACAAATAATGCCTCCATATCTTGAGAGCATGGACAATCGCCGCCAACTCTAGATCGTGCACAGGGTAATTCTTCTCATGAACCTTCAGCTGACGTGAAGCATATGAAATAACTCGCCCCTCCTGCATCAATACACATCCCAAGCCAACGCGAGAAGCGTCGCAATATACCGTATACATCCCTGAACCGGAAGGCAATACAAGAACTGGTGCCGTGGTCAAAGCCGTCTTGAGCTTCTGGAAGCTCTCCTCACAATCATCGGACCAACAGAATGGGGCACCCTTTTGGGTCAATCTGGTCAGAGGTGACGCAATAGATGAAAAGCCCTGCACAAATCGCCGGTAGTAACCTGCTAACCCCAGGAAACTCCTGATCTCGGTCACTGAAGTAGGACGTGGCCAACTCTGAACTGCCTCAATCTTCTTGGGATCCACTTTAATACCCTCTCCTGACACTACATGCCCCAAGAATGTCACTGACTCTAGCCAAAACTCGCACTTGGAGAACTTAGCATAAAGCTTCTGCTTTCGCAAGGTCTGAAGCACTACTCTCAAATGCTGCTCGTGCTCCCCCAGGCTACGCGAGTATATCAAGATGTCGTCAATGAAGACGATAACAAATGAATCAATATAAGGTCTGAACACCCTGTTCATCAAGTCCATATATTCCGCTGGAGCATTAGTCAAGCCAAATGACATCACCAGAAACTCATAGTGGCCATATCTAGTCCTGAATGCGGTCTTCGGGACATCTGATTCCCGAATCTCAGCTGATGATATCCTGACCTCAAGTCAATCTTAGAGAACACCCTAGCACCCTGCAGCTGGTCAAACAAATCATCAATACGGGGCAATGGATACTTGTTCTTGATGGTGACTTTGTTCAACTGGCGGTAATCAATGCACATCCGCATAGTCCCATCCTTCTCTTTACAAATAGCACTGGTGCACCCAAGGCGATACACTGGGCCTAACAAACCCTCTAGCTAACAACTCCTCCAACTGCTCCTTCAGCACCTTCAGCTCCTTAGGAGCCATGCGGTACAGCGGGATAGATATAGGCTGAGTGGCTGGAGCCAAATCAATACAGAAGTCAATATCACGATCCGGAGGCATACCAGGAAGATCAGAAGGAAAA